AGATAGATAGATAGATAGATAGATAGATAGATAGATAGATAGATAGACAGACAGAAATGACAGATAGATGACTGTGGTGGGTTTGAATGAGAATGTCCCCCATAATCTCAGGATTTTGAGCTTGGTTCCCAGTTAATGCCACTTTCAGAGGTGGCATGATATGTGGTCTTGGTGACTACAGTGAAAGACTCTTATCCCTTCCTCTCCCTTAACCTATCATTTACCTATCATCTATCTGTCTGTCTGTCTGGCCATCTTCTACTATGTATGATTAATACTATCTATCAATCATCTGTCTACCATCCGTCATTTTTTTTAAACAGGACCTAATTAGGTAATCTAGCATGGTGGTGAATAAGAATGGCCTCCATAGGTACATATATTTGAATGCTTAGTCATTGGAGAGTGGCACTACTTGAGAAGGATAGGAGGTGTTGCCTTTTGGAATAGGTGTGGCCTTGTTGGAAGAAGTGTGTCATGGGGGGTGGCCTTTGAGGTTTCAGAAGCCCAAGCCTGTCCCAGAGGGTCTCTCTTTTCCTGCTGCCTGCCCGTCCAATGGAAAGCTCTCAACTACTTCTCCAGTACCATGACGGCCTAAGTTCCACCATACTCCCCTGCCATGATGATAATGAATAAACCTCTGAAACTGTAAGCCAGCCCCAATTAAATTCTTTCTCTTATGAAATTTACCATGGTCATGGTGTCTCTTCACAGAAATAGAACACTGAATAAGACACTTAGGCTGGTCCGAATCATATAGAGCAGGCCAGCCTTGAACTCCCAGGGAGCTCCCTTAATCTGCCTCCCAAGGCACTGGCATACACAAGCCTACACAAGCACACCTGGCTTGACACTTTCATTTTACTTTTACTCTCCAGATTCCCAGTCAGCCAGCTGAGAGAATAAATTTGAATTTTCCCTTGAGTAACAGCAAGAACTCAGCTCCAAGGCCTGGTGCTCCTCCGTGGAATTTATGAGCCCCTGGTAAGTGTAAAAGGTGACATCTTCATGACAGGGACATGGCCATGCTGTTGCCTGTGTGCCCATCTCATCTCTGCATCCTCATAACTCATGCCTTTCATCAAGCCAGGCCGAAACCAGACAGACACCCAGCTGGTGGCTTTTTGCTGTTCTGCTTTTTATCAAGTTAAAGCCATATGACAAATCCACAAGTGAAGAAAATGTACTTATTTTTCAAAAGGTCAGCCTCACAAGCTATGAAAGAAATGTAAATTAAAACAATGTCTGCATTCCACCTCTGCAATTGACAAAGATAAAAGGCCTTGCACACTCAATATTGGGAAAACCGTGATCAAGAACGTTGTCACGTGCTGCCTATGAGACTAGGGGTAAATAATCAAATACAACAAGCACATGTTATGATGGACTTGTTAAACCAATAATTCGACCCCAAGGAGAATATGCTGAGAGATCCGGCGTTTCACCAAATGTATTTTTATTTTGGTACAAAAAAAAATCCATTATGGTCTTACTTTTAATACTGAAAAATGAGAAGCCATCTAAAAGTCCAGCGATTGATGGCTAATGGTTAAACCGACAGCAAATATTTCGGTACCGTGGGAACTCAGAAACGATGAAATTTAATAAGTGTGTAGATGGGCCACGCACATCGTTCTGAGCTGGTATAAAACAGAGGTGCTTTCTAAAGCCTTTAGACCTGTGTGGTGGGAGGGCAAGGGGATTTTACTGTCCTTTGCACAACTTCACTCTCCTAAGTTTCTATGAAGACTAAATTTCATCAGTACAAATGCCACCGTGCACACACACACACACACACACACACATACACACACATACCACACCATACACATACATGCATGCTACACACATGCACGCACACACACACACACATACACACACCACACTACACCACAGAGAGAGAGACGGGGGGAGAGAGAGAGAGAGAGAGAGAGAGAGAGAGAGAGAGAAGCTTTGTATGTCCATCTTTTGGCAGTGGGGCACGCCTTTAATCCCAGCACTCGGGAGGAAGAGGTAGGTTGATCTTCTGTGAGTTCGAGGACAGCCAAGCCTACACAGAGAAACCCTGTATCAAAAAACAATTAGTAACTCTGTGTTTTGATACATGTATACTCTCTGCCTGGGCCCAGTAAATGCCAGGTGAGAGTGTTCTCAGTTCTGTTGTTTTCGTGCATGCTGGCCCTCAACGACACACTGGCTTCTTCCTTATCAGCTCTGTTCCCATCCAGAAATTGGTCAACCTGTTAGTCCGCAGCAATGGGACACGGGTTCTTGCACTGTGACCTCTGGGGTCATCTGACGAGGCTTGTGGCTCCATTCTCAAATTAGTCATTCTGTGAACACATCATGAAACAAGGTTTCACAGAACACCACACACTCCCTAAGTAATAGAGGTCTAGGTCAAGTTCCTTCGTTTTCATTAAAACTGAGGCTAGTGTGAGAAAAGACTCCTTTGAGGTCATCCATGCGTGTTCTGGTGTCTCTCTATGGCTTGTGTGATGTGATTCCTTTTTGTTGTTGTTTGTAGTGAGATAGGGTCTCACTACAAAGCTCTGACTGGCCTGGAATTCATCGTGTAGCCCAGGCTGGCATAGGACTTGTGATCTTCCTGCCTCTGCCTCCAGGTTGCTGAGATTCTATCCATGCATTCAAATACACATGGATGAGGCATACAATCCTATTGCTCTTGTACTGGTAGCTTCCTGTTTTGACCAGGCCTCTAGATGACCCTTAACCTTCACGGCCACCGCCACTCAGTATCACTAACTTTATTTCCATAAGGAGACTGTTGTCCAGAGGACGAGCCCCTCTAAGACCTGGAAAAACAGTCAGTCTCAGGCAACCAGAAATGGGCCAGCAAAGGGAAGCGCCTTTCTTTTTAGGAATGGAGAAAGAAAAGCCAGACATCTCTGGAGAAATGATGCAACCTGAGGCAGAACCCAATCCAGAGGAGAACAGAATTTAAGGTAATAAGAAAGTGACCATATGGGGAATTCATTGGGGGCCTTTAATCAGCTGCCGGGAGGTTCTTTTCAATGATTTGAGGTAATACAGGATAGTTCCACTGCTCTCTCACACACCTCTCTGTCTCTCTGTCTGTTTCTCTCTCATGCATGCACACACTCACACACTCATTTTGATTAAGCCCACCAAAAGCTTCTATCCATAGATCGGGTCTGTGTCACAGCTGAGGAAACTGAGGCTGACCAGGAAAAGTGGAGAGCCAGGCCATGACCCAACTCTTTCCGGTCTCATAATTTTCTACCATGACTCACCAGGAGTCGGAGGTTCCTCGCCTACTGGATTTCCCAGTGCCTCAGCTCTCACCCTGCTCCCCTAGCAGGGAGCTCAGAAGTATCTAGCCATATAGCTATCACACGTCTGCGCCCTTCTGGGAGACATGGTCCTTCCACATACACGCCTCTTCAGCTACCCAGCAGGGAGCCCCTTACCTGTAGCAGAGGCACAGTTGACCCGGGATTCCCACAGGCACCCCTGGAAGAAGGGAAACAGGTGGACACAGCTCTAACCTCCAGCCCTATCCCAACCTGTCCCACCTGGCCACGCCGCAGCCTCTGCCTCACCTGTAAATCAGTACCTCGTCGTCGGAGCAGTTGTACTGTAGCTGGTACATCTTCACCCGGGGTGCCGATTTGCTGACAGACCACTTGACCAGGGCAGACGTGGTGGTCACATCGGACACAAGCACAGCCCTCTCTGGGGTGCTTTTGGGAGGCTCCCCACCCCCACTACCTCCCCCTCCCCGGCTGGTCTTGCTGGAACCCGTGATGTCCGAAAGGCGAGACTTGGGGGGCGCCATCCGGCTAGTGCTGTTACTGAGGTGTGGGAGCTGTACAATGGAGACCTCTACCGTGGCCGTGGCCTCTCCCGCAGCGTTGGCTGCAATGCAGGTGAAGGCTCCACTGTCCTGAGAGGTGGTGATAAGAATGTCCAGGGTGCCATTATCATATACAGCAGTCCTGGAGGAGTTTCCCACCAGACGGTCATCAGGGGCAACCCAGTGGATCAAGGGGCTGGGGTCCCCAATGGCCTTGCACTTGAGAGTGGCTGCCTGACCCTCCAGAACCAGCAGCTTATGGGTGTGCTGTGTGATGAGGGGTGGCTCACACACAAACTCCTCCTCACGGATATGCCAAAAATAGCGACCCTTGAGTCCTCCAGGGGATCCACAGGTCTCCAGGTCATCCTCCCTCTCCAGCCTCCGCAGCCAGAGAAGCTCACAATTGCAATGCAGTGGGTTTCCCCCAAAACTAAAGGACAGGGGCGGGGCAAAGGGAGTGGCAGTCAGCAAGGAGGCCTGGGAGCGGGCAAAGATGGGATCTGGGGGCAGCTTCTGTAGCCGATTGGACGTGAGGTCCAAACGGGCCAGTTTCTGCAGATCTGCGAAGGTCCCCTCAGCGATGTGATCCAGAAGGTTGTGGTCCAGACTCAGCTGGTGGAGGTTGACCATGCGCCGTACGGAATCCCAGGGTAGCCCATGGAGGTTGTTGTAGGATAGGTCCAGATCTTCCAAGGTCAGCAGGAAGTCCTCAAAGGCATCATCGGCGATGCCGCCCAGCTGGTTATTGTTAACAATGAGGTGCTGCAGGTTGACCAAGCCCCGCAGTGTGTCCTCCCCAAGGCTCGGCAGCCGGTTGCTGTCAAGGTGCAGGGAGCGGAGGCTCTCGAGGTCCAGGAAGGAGAAGGGCTGGATGTGGCTGATGGTGTTCCTAGACAAGGTTAGATCCACCAGCCCTGTCATGTTGGCAAAGTCCTGGCGGCCAATATGGATGATGAAGTTGCCACCCAGGCGCAGCTCCACCGTCCTCCGGTCAATGTCAGGGGGCACAAAGAGGAGCCCCTTGGAGGGACATAGGGTCCCCAGTGACTCAGACAGGTTCTGGCAGACACAGTACTTGGGGCAGGCATCGACAACAGCAAACGCCATGCCAAAAGCCAGCAGCCCACCAAGCAGAGTCTCCATGGTCTGGTCACTCAGCCTCGGCACCTGGAAGGAGGAATACAACTCAAGGTCAGGATGTGATTGCCCTTATCCAGAGCTTCTCTCCAAAGAATGACTTTGGGAAAAACAGAGACAGGCTATACCCAGGCAAGCGCTCATATCTTTTCATTTAACTCTTCTAACGCATTTCTAACTTTTCTTTTCTCCTCAGCTGTTAGCATCTCCTATCAACTTGATTCACTCTTTGTGTGTGTGTGTGTGTGTGTTTTGATTGTTTCTATATAACATGTACCATGTGAGCTCCTTGATAGCAGGCCTTTTATATGTTTTAGGAACTGTTGTGATCTAAATATCTAGCACGGTGCCCAGAAGCCCAGAACATCCTAGTTACTCAGTTGGTATTTGTCGGATGGTGGGTGGACAGATGAATACATGGTTAGCTTTTAGCTGGAAGGATAAGCAAGTGGGCAGATGGAAGGATCATAGGTGGACCGATGGGTGGCTGAATGGATAGACTTGGTGTTGGTATGTCTATAGATGGAAGAATGGGTGAGTGGATGAAGGGAAGGATGTATGGGTAGAAAGGTAAAAGAGTGGATGGGTAGGTGTCCAGGTGGACGGGTAGATAGGTGGACATATGGTTGATGGTTGGGCAGGTAGATAGATGGCTGGATGGGTTAGTGGATGGATGAGTGGATGAGTGAGTAGATAAATGGTGAGATCGATGGCAGATGGACAAGTGGATAGATAGGTGGTTAGGTGGCTAGGTAGATGGGAGGATGTAAAGACGGATGGAATGAATGGGTAGATAGACAGATGAATTCATGAATGTGTGAATGGAAAGATGGATGGATAATACCATATCAGCAGCTCATCCAACAGCCTTAGTGTTTGAGGCATATGCTACAGTTGTTTTGTGGAACGCAGGGTTAATTAATATCTTAGTTGATTCTGGGAAAGCTTGAAATGAAAGCAGACTAGTGTTCCCAACAGAGAAGAATGTAGTCAGGCAGACAGAGAGAGCCTTAGAGAAGACGGAGTTGGTGGGAACTGGCTTTGGAAGGTTCTTCATCAAGGACAAATCATGTAGCCATCAACCCTTGAGAGTTCAGGAAAGGGAAGATGTTAAGAAGAAGTGCTTCTGAGAACTTGATTGGTGTATGTCCTTTCCTTGGATTCTGCCCATCCATACTATTCCACAGGCTTCAAGAGTACCTGTTACAAGGAATGATTGCCTGTATGCGTAGATACACACTTACCTCACAGCCCACTTGAGCCATTCTTCAAAAGTCACCTTCTTGTTGCCTCTGATGATACCCTGTTCTCACAGCACCCCGACACATACACACATGTCCCTTTCCCCTGGTGGGTAAGCCCTCTTATCTGGGTTCTCAAAGCCTCACTCACTGTTCAGCTCTTAGTAGGCATTTTTCTTGAATGGATATGTAGGGCAGGAAAAAGACAGAGATTGGCTGGGGGCTTTTGTGCTTCTCAGTCTTAACAGTTTTCCTCCTATTCCAAGCAGTAACAGTTATGTGCCTTTTTTTGTGTGTAAGGCTAAAACCAAGCCATTGAGTTGGACTGTGAGAAAACCTGAGCATGGGTTGTACAGCCTCCTAAAGACCAGCATTTCTCAAATTGGCTTCTCAGAGTGCTAATTAGGTTCCGCAAAAGTGGCTTAAGAGGCCAATAGGCCGGGGATGTGCTGCCCACTTGCTGGCTCTTGTGAACGTTCTGTACATGTTAACGAGTTTAGGAGAGCTGATGTATTCAGCAGCAGGGAAGACATTGGATTAAGGATTAATTTGGTGCTACTTTAAAAATTTTTTGTTTGCCTTGTGCATGGGCACACACTCGTGTCTTCAGACACACATGTACACATGTATGGAAGCTACAGGTTAACACTCAATGTCCTCCTCATTTGCTTCTCACCTTAGTTTTTAAAACAGTGTCTCTCACTGAACCTGGAACTCAGCTTATTAGGCCAGACTTGCTAGCCTTCTTGTTGCCTCTGTTACGCTGTTCTCACAGCACCCCGACACATATACACATGTCCCTTTCCCCTGGTGGGTAAGCCCTCTTATCTGGGGCTCTCACAGCCTCACTCACTGTTCGGCACTTAGCAGGCATCTCTCGTGAATGGATATGTAGGGCAGGAAAAAGACAGATGAAGTTTCATCTGTCTTCACCTCCACAGAGCTGGGGTCATAGGCAGACATGGCGCCTGGTTTCACATGGGTGCTGCAGATCTAAATGTGGTCCTTCTTGCTTTCACAGCAAGCACGTTATCAACTGAGCCATCACCCCAGCCCTGTTCTTGGTTTTGAGAAAATCATCAGTATTTCAAGGAAGTAGAACTCCAGTGGTCTCAACCTGAGTGCCACAGAGGCAGGGAAAACACCCAGCAGATGGCTTACACATACACTATTTGATGATTTGAATGATATGTCCTCCGCAGTCTTCAGCATTTGAGAAATTAGTCCCCAAATTGATAGTGTTGTTTGGGAGATTGAGTTGGGCTGGTGTGGCCTTGTCAGAAGGAAGTGGGTCCCTGGAGGCACGCTTAGAGGTTATTTTTTCTTTCTTTTTATGGTTCAAGGTGTGAGCCCTCAGCTTTCTGCTCCTGCCATCACACTTTCACCCCACCATCAAGGATTCCTAACACTCTGGAGCTGTAAGCCCAAGCAAACTCTTCTATATGTTGCTTGCTCATGATGCTTTATCGCAGTAATATAGAGGTGACTACTAAATACCAGATATAGATATATAGATATAGAGATAGAGATATCATATATATAAACCCTCTTTCAATCATATGTTTGGTCATGCAGAATTTAGTTCTATTATGGTGCCTCTTTGTAGAAAACTCCTCCCTGGAGACCCTTCAAGGACCAGCATCTTTTCCCACATCTCACCTGTTGATGGTGTTGTCCTGAGAACAGCACCATCCAACAGAAACTCAATAGGAGCCAAATGTACTTTTAGACTTTCCCGTGACAATATCTTTTTGAAAATTAGATCAAGTTCACTTTAGCAACATACTGCATTTCATCCACAGGATTCGTTTCAACGTCACCAGTGTTATTACCGATGAGCTGGTAAGTACTCTTTTACTTGTTTAAAGACTTTAAAATCTGGTGTGCTTCACACGTACCAGCGCACCCCAAATGATCCTCCTCCAGATGTGGCTATGGGTTCCCCTAATGATCAAGCCTGGAGCCACTGCTGTCTGCTGTCTGTTTTGTAAAGAAGACTTTACTAGCACATGGCCCACTCATTCCTTAGTGTCTTTCTTGGTCCATCTTTCTGAGCTGTGTGGCAGAGGTGAGTGATGGAAGCAGAGAACACAGGGCCAGCAAAAGCTAATACTATTTGCTCTCTGGTCCTTTCTGGAAAATTTCTGACCCGTGTTCTAGAAGGTTCGCCTCTTCTCACTTTCTTCACTGTGAGTGCCCCTATCGAATCTGCAGCGTGGAGCTGCCCCAGGCCCCTCAGGAGCAACTGCAGCCCAGCCCAGCCAGCACCCGCTGCCACCAAAGTCCTTGCAGGGCCATCGCCCTGACCCAGGTCTCATCTGGCTGTCAATCACAAGAGAGTGAGGCCTGGAGAGAAGGCTCAGTAGTTAAGAGCACTGTCTGCTCTTCCAAGGACCCAAGTTCAAGTCCCAGCACCCACATAGCAGCTCAGGTCCGTGTGTTGAGAAGCAAACTGACTCTGCAGCCTACCTCAAGGCCGTATGGGTAGCAGTCGCCTACATGTCCTTTGGGTTCCCCCGTCATTGACTTTTGCCACCTGTTTTTGTCATACAGCTGAGGTGGTAAAGGAAGCAAGGAAGGCGGGACACACACACACTGATAGCAGAAAAGCCCAGATCCTTTTGCTTCAAACAGCTTCATCCCACCAAATGATGTTAAGCAAACCACCACAATTAAAAAAAAAAAAGTTTGTTGGGGATTAGAAAACGTCTAATGAATTCAAATGGATGAAATAATAGAGCTGGGTAAATATATTTTAAGTAATCAGCATGGAAGATTACTGACAGACAAGTGACTATTGAATCTTAATTAAAATTGTATTCTGAGAATTGTCACTTAGCCCATTACTCTAACAGCTAAACAAAAGGCGGTTTCACCCCCACTTTTGAAGAGGGGGAGTCAAAGGAAGTGGATAAATTAGCCTGATTCAGGCAGATGAAATGGGGGAGGTGCTTCCTCTTTGAAGCAGGAATTTGAACAAAGTTTGGGAGACGCGACTGGCCTGGGTGACTTCAAGCGTTTCTGAGTGGAGCAGGTGTTATAGGAGAACAGAGATGAGGAGACTGGAGCTGGCCCCGGGCAAGGAAGCCGTGAAAGCAAACAGGCAGGGCTGAAGCACTGTTGGCGAACAGTGCCAACAGCGGTGAGCTGGGAGCAGAGGCTGTGCAACGAAATGGTCTCGGCTATTAAATGTCACCATCAGCCTGCAGAGGAGGCAGAACTGTCCGTGAGGAGCATCTGTGAGCTGGCATTGGAGGAGAGGAAGGCAAAGGCACAAAGGTGGAGGAATAGAACAAGGTTCTTTGAGCCTACTGTGCCCTAAAATCACCCTAGGCTTGGGCACTGATCCAGGGTAGAAATGCTACCTCCTGAGTCCCCTATTGGGTTTCTTTATGCGGTGCTCACAGTCCTGCAAGGTAACAGTTCACAGTCCGTAAGGTAGACCTCTTGCAGTGAGAAAGATATGCCCCCTGGCTGTTTGCAGAGCATCCTAACTGAGCAGCCTTGACCAACAAGAAACCTGCTCCACCACGCTTCATGGCCCTGTGCACAGTTATCCACATTTTAGCTACTGGGGAGATTCAAAGCAGTCTGGACCCAACTGAACACTCCTCCACCCTGGAAAGAATCCCCACTTACTCAGGATTGCCTGGCTCCAGGCCATACTCTAAGCAAAGGAGGCCCCCCTCCTGAGGCATCCATGTGCCTGGTGTACCCAGAACTGGCAGCCTCTACTATGGATTGCTTAGGAACCGGAGATGGCCCAGCTGTTCCACTACATTCCAGCAC